GGTTCAGACAATCCTCTTTACCAACGTTCACAACAACAGTTAATCACATCTGAAATGCACTAATGCAATCTAAACATTTAGTAAGTTTACATTCCCACTGTAGGCACAAGTGGCCCAAAACATTTTTTTTGTTCATATGTGACTCAGATCAGTATGAAGAGTACAAATCACACTAAATCTAATCTTTTCTATTCTGATTTGGGCCATCAGTTTTATGTCTGATGTTTTGCAATGTGACCTCAGCGTGAACAGTCATATCAGACTTAATATGACTTTTATACCTCTTTAGATCAACACCACATTAAAAAAATAATGCAGCCAAACAGAACTGATCTGACCAAATAAATAAAAAATAAAATCCGAATTGAATACTAAGGCTTGCAGTGTGAACTTAGCTAACAAGCTAAAAACACTAACAACAAGTAGCATTACAGCTTTTTTGTCATTTTTGCAAAAAGCAGTTCACAAAATGTTCACACGATATTATTATTATTATTATTATTATTATTATTATTTAATAATAATAATAAAAATGCTAAACACATTACAAAACACAAACAGATTAAAAATAATCAATGAAAAGCCAAAAAAGTAGCTTTAAACGTGATTTTAAAATGAGATTTTATATGTTTTATATAAAGATTTTATGTATAATGAATATGTTTGTTTGTCTGCAGACATAAGCTTTCTACCTCCATGAGGAAAAGAGGCCACCCCAGTTTGGTGTCAAATGTTGTGAGATTTAACACATTAATTTAGACTAAGTGTTAGACTTGAGTTCAGTGAAAACAGACATGTATTTGGAAATATATGTGAAAAAACTTGTAACCCTTTAGATATTTCTATTTAATGAGTCACAACATAACCAATGTTTCTGAATTCAAATATCTTCATTTGTGGGCAAATATTGATATATTGATTGATTGTTAAATCAGCATATATTTTTGAATTAATATTTTTCTAGAACCAATACTGACATAATATACATTAAATACAATACACTGAGTTTGGTGGTTGAGTTTGATTGAAAAGTAATCCACAGTTTATACAACACTGACTTCTGTTGTGCTGACTGTATGAAGAGTTTTGGAACAGTGCCATACAAACTGACATATAAAAGTGTCCCCTGAACTTTCTGCACATACAAAGTGAAATTAGCCTAATTTCTGAACAATAAGAAAGTAAAATTAGTAGAAATAAATGTTGGTCTGAAGGGGTTCAGCTGATAAAAAAACTCTACACAGGATTGACCTCAAACTGTAGGTTCGTTCTTTGAATGCCTCTGCTTGTTTTTTTCACCCAAGATCATTTCCACTGAAACTAATCATAGTCATAATCAAACAATTAATTAACATATGAACCCTTTCCCTATCATTGGCAGTAAAGCTGTTCCACCAGCATACAATAGCACAGAAACTTTAAAGGTCTAGTGTGTAACATTTAGGAGGATCTACTGACAGAAGTCCCAGCACTAATTCCCCCCGTCCCTGCGTAAACAGAGCAGCAAAGCGGAATAGGAAGTGTCCCCTAACCTCAGAGCCCCCCTCGTCCCTCCTCCTCCTTAAGGAGGTTTTTGTAAAGCGGACAGAAAGCTGACGGTCCCAGCTGACCTCTGCTTTGTGTCCTGGCTCATCTCACATCTGGGCGCTGACACAATGTAGCAGCATTCAGAGTGTCACAAAGCCCACCTCTCATCTGCAGGGTGCACTCTCACCAAATATGGAAATGATGTTGCTGGTCAGTATGATGATATGGCATCAAAATGACATAATCCTCAACTCATCTGACAGACCAAGGGTCTATATAAAAAAATATGAGTAGTACCTAAAAGGTTCTTGCTGCTCTCTTGTGATCTCAAAGGAACCTAACAAGCACTTCTAAGTAGAAGCACCTGGATCATGCTGTAGAGAAAATGCTCTTTGCACTGGAGTTGGGGGTTCTAAGGGGATGCAGCACCCCCTAAAATCTGCCATAATGAAAACTATTAGTTCATAAAAATGTTTAACGTATAATTTAGATGCACTGGTAAATATGGTAGGAAAGAGGTTGTTTTTTTTTTATCTGCTAAAAAATATAAATTATAATGATATAACAAAACAGGAAGTATAATCTTGTCCTCCAAGGGGGAAATTAATCTCCACATCACTGCACCTGCAGACAACACCATATAGTCAACAGAGAAACACACCATCCACAATCAACAAATCCACAAAAAACAAACAATCAAATTTGCCGTCTTTGCAGTCAGCTTCTTATCCACAGAGGTCTCCTCTCCAAAACAAATGGACTATGTGTAAAACTGCTACAAACACTGAATAAAGAAGTTCCACCTTAAAAATCACTGTTTCTCCCACGCTGTTGGGAAGACAAAGTACGTCCCAAAGGAGCTGCGAGCCGAGCTGCTGCTAACATTAGCTAAGCATATTTCTCTGATAAATTAAGATCCAGATGTTCGATGACTAAAATGAGTTATAAAGCACCAAGATCTAAACAGTGGATGGTAAAAATGTGGCTTCAAACTTTAAATAAGCAGTAAATTATCCTGGCAATTTAAATTAATGCAAAAACCATGAATGCCTTTAGATTCAGTATGACATCATTATATAAACAAACTTTCTCTTGGCAACCCTCAACTCTGACTGACTTCCAGCAACCTGTATTTGATAAGACGTAGTCTCAGGGATCCCCGTCTGATAAGATTTATTTATTCCATACTGTAGATTGGCAGATTAATAGAATCTCAAACATATGATCAGAATAGTCATTCTTACGTTCTCTCATTGGGCTAACTTCTAGATAATGAAATAATTAAATTAAACTATTCCCCAATTGCTGACTGTCTGGAAGCTCCTCAAGGTCCCCTGGGGGTACTTGGACCACAGGTTGACAACCACTGCTCTATGGGACTTACCAGAAGGGTTTATATACGAAGTCAGACAGTACAAAAAAATGAATCAAGATTCTGAATATATTTTTTACTTATGAGGTATTTTAAACTGTGGACAACACTAATGGAAATAGGATCAAATGCAGTCATACTTGTCAGAATGTAGAGTGTATTTGTTTTAATGAATGTTTCCTGTTAGGAAGGTTCCTCAAATGTTCTCTGGTATATAGTGATAGTTCTGGAACGCTGATCGAAAGGATCTATCTATGTATAAAAATAAGGAGATCAAAAATCTGGTACCTGCTCTCTTGTGATTTTAAAGGACCATTAAGTACTTCAAAGGGGAAGCACTTAAATAGAGAAAATGCTCCTTTAGAACAACACAGCTGCTCTAAGGACCTAATGGAAGAGTATATCATATTTATATGAACTCAGATTAAAATAGGACTGGCAGCACCTTATAAAAGTCTGATTTTAATTAACATATTTCTTTAACATTTTTACAAATAACTGTGCACAACACTAATGGAAATGTGATCCAATACTTATCAGAATGTAGAGCTTATTCGTTTTAATGAAAGATAAATTCAGCATGAGAGCATAATTTTATGTTTTAGTGACTTTGGGGGATTTTATTTGTGATCTTCAAGTAGAGTTTAATATGATTTGGCATTGCCTTTTCATTTATTCAGATCAGTGTAACACCTGGCTGATGATTAATCATTTAAAGCTCGAGCCTACATCAGGAGATCCTAAACTTCTTAATGTCAAAGACCACAATATATGGACAAAACACTGTGTAGCCCCCCGGATTTTGTGTTGTGTTTTTGTTATTATTATTTTCAGATTATAAAAATAATTTTAGATTATAACATGTTAAATCAGTGACCAAACTGGGATCCCCATCACAATCAATAAAAACGGCCGACCATATTTCTTTCCTTGTTGTTCCAACTTCTAAAAAATGTGATAAAAGTTAAAATATTCTATTCCCCCTTTGACTAGGGACCGCGCAAGGACCCCTGTTGGTCCCCGGACCTCAGTTTGAAAACCATTTAGTTCAATCAATGATAATACGCCTTCATTTATTGAGCTGATTATTCATTTTATATATAAATAATCTGAATCTGCAAAGTGACTACAGTTGTTTACTAATTGTAGTGTAGTACAAGTATAAAAGAACATAAAATTAATATTTAAGTACAAGTATCTCATAATTGCTCTTAATTAACACCATAAATTAAATTAAATTACATACCCTAATGACCAGGAGTCAGGTCCAGCCTTCAGGATGTCTTCTGCTACCTTTCTTTCTACTTTGGGTCATCGCAAGTTGATAATGAGCACGCCAACTCTGGGCCGTTTGGTCTTAAGAGGCCTAAAACCCCTTTTTGGGACATGTTTCCGGCAAAAGAAAAAGGCCAAAAAGGAAGTATCCTGAAACAAAGTAGCAAAAAATATCACCTACAACATCATCAAAAAGTAAAATTTGACTATCTGCTTGACAAATTCTCTTTAAAAATGATTATTTCCTGACACTTTATGGTAAATATCAACGCCTCACATTAAAAAAGTTTACTTCCTATCTTATACAATCTAAATTACACGTGCTGTGGCCAAAATGAGCCACTATAAGTCAACAGCTGTCAATAGCCTGACATCTAACAATATGTTCATATGTTCTGCTACTGCTGCTCTCTGAAGGGAACATGAAACGTGAACACTAAAGTCCAAAAAACAACTGCTTTTAAATGGTATTTAACATATTTTTATGTTAAATATGCACATTATAGCACGTCCAAACCAATACACTCAAATTACAGTATGAGTATGAATACTGAAAATACTTAATATTGAACAAAATACTTCGGTAAACACTCTAAATACAGTCAAAATACAGGAAGGTAAAAAAAAATAAACTTTAATATAAATTAATAATAATTTTTATTATTTTTTTATCGGCAGCTTTCCACTTACGAATACATATAAACAGACTTTTTAACGTTGTTAATTTGTGCTTTTATTTTATTTATTTTAACCCGAGACGGCGGTGGGGGCGTGTTCTTGTTGCCTGGCAACGTGACGCGGTATTTCCGGGACGGACCAAACGTCACAACAGCTACTGCTAACCCTGCTTAATGGGCTGAAAATAATAATAAATACTCCAAATAGGACTTTATAAATGAACTGGAAGTTAATTCAGCTGTGATACTGACGGTAATGTCCGGTAGAAACAGAGTGGGAGTTGAATTCGTGGCTGAAAACGACGTTAAAGGTGAGTTTAAAGGTTTAACTTCATCCATTCACTGACTTCTCTCCAGTTCTAGTTTCATTGATTCATCCGCTTTCTTGTCTGTGTAGATGGAGGAAGGAGGAGGAGGAGGAGCAGCGGGGTGTCGGAGGTCTTCGGGGCGGTGCTCACCCTGCTGTCTGTGCTCTTCATCCTCTTCACCTTCCCCCTCACAGCCTGGATGTGTGCAAAGGTGATCTGATACAAACAGAGGAAACATTCATTTATCTGCCTCCAAAACACACACAAACACACACAAACACACACAAACACACACACAAAGTCAGCTGTGCTTCTGCAAGTAAGATGTGACTTTAAAAATAAATAAAAACTGAAAGATACTGGAATAAGGAAGGATATTAGGTTGAACAATTTGACCAAAGGACAGTAAAATATTAGTTTATTTTGTTAATTGATGAAGTCGTGTATAAAACAAATAGTTTTCATTGTTTCCAGTTTCTCAAATGTACAGATTAATTGGTTTTACATATTGTAAATTAAATATCTGTAGGTTTGGACCTTTTAAAGACAATTTATTGATTCAATAACAGACAGATTGATCAAGAATTATAATAAAAAAGTC